TTTTGATGTAACACGACTCAATGGAGGTCCAGTTAATTACTAAATGTTCATTTTCTTTCTAATTCTAACTCTCGATGCCTTTTTCTGAGTTTTTTATCAAGTGGGTATATAATTTTGTGGAAAAATTTTTTCCACTTTTTCGTGAAAATGACAAAATTTTTAAAATTGCTATTTTTTGTTGAATTTTGTGAATGTAACATGAAACTAATAATAAATGCGCATATTTTTCTAATTGAAACCATTTCTGGAGGTATTAGCGTTTTCGAGTTATTTGACAAAATTAGGGTGGGTATATAATTTTGTGGAGCACTGTATACATATAATCCACCACCACCGACTGCTGTACGCGGGTAGATTTACGAGTGCGCCCTTCGAAATGGTCTCGCCAAGTGCGAATGCTTATTTTTAAATTTTCCCTTGAACTGTTTAATTTTTCTTGATAAGTTTATTAATTGATTTGAATTCTCAATATCATTGAAATTAAAAACAAATGGAATGACCACAAAAAAGTAAAATAACCAGTTAGTCCCTGCGAGACCATATCAAAGGCGCATGCCGAGCAACAGTCGTCGGAAGCCGGCTACATATAATTTTTTTTAATTATAAACACCTCACCTCAATGCTAGGTCTATGTAGAATAGAAGTTGATTCTACCCAGCTATCCTCTAAAACATTTTTTGAGAGTCAAACAAACAGTGAGATGCCGGCCTCAAATGCCAATTTGAAGCCTTTTGGGTCTCGCATCTATTTTCGCGTTATCTGAATATGTACATAGTTTGTTTCTAAAAAAAAAGTCGCCAGCAAAATGTTCGTTTCGAAATCATGAAAATAATGTCCTTTCAACGATTTCTTGTTTGAAGAAGCATATATTTTTTATTATTTATTGAAGCAAATTGTTACTAGCAGCTATTTTCAGAAAAAAAATCAATTTTTTCAGAAACTGTTTAAGTCTTTCCAATACATTCGAACCCAATTGTTCCCACTTTTCCAAGATCACAAATTGATAGAGAATTTTGATTGATTTTGTGGAAATGATGTTACTCACTATATTTCAGTGAAACGTTCATACAAATATTTGTACAAATATGTATGTTTATATTTGTGCATATTATTAATATATTTAACCAAAGGTTTCTTTTTTGTTTTCGGTTAATCCCTACACGAAATTGCAATTCGCATCATACATATATTGTGTATATTTTTTAAATAAAAAATATGATCATTGAGCTTTTTGTGGAGCAAATTGTTGTGGAAATTCACACTTCGCCTTTTTTGCTTCTGTGAATAGAGCAAAATCATGGCGCGATTTTTTTCTTTTCGAAATGGCTCACAAATTGAAAAAAAAAGAAAATTCACAGCATGCCAAGAAGAACCCCCTGAATTATCGCTGGCAAAAAAAATTTGCTCAAAATAATTAGACGTTGGTTTTTGGAATTTTTTCATTTAAACTCAAATATCTGAAAATTCATTTTTTTTGGCAAGTTTTCGTTTTGGTTGCGAGATTCGTATACCCGTGAGAACTTCATTGTAATCGGAGTACTCGGTTTTCAAAAAGAACGAAATAATATGCTGTACCCTTGTGAAGTTTAAAACGATCTTTTTCGGAAAACAGAAATAATTGGCAAATTAATAAAATTTGATAAACAATTTTCTGCAATTTCTTAAATTTTGATAAAGTATTTTTTTAATCACAAGTTTAGCATTTTATTGAGTTTTTTAAGGACATGATAAAGTATTCAAAAGGCAACTTCTAATTAGATGTTTGAAAATTACATGCTGCACAGCTTCATTAAATTTAAGGAAATAGTGCCCCATAATTAAATGCCATTATTGTTAATCACCGAACGAATCTTGAAAATTATTGTCTGATCCGATTGTTGAGTTACAATCTTTCTAAGGACTTCTTCGAATTTTAGTATTTTGTTATTTCGCAAATTAGGAACAGCCTATTAATAAACTAAAATGAATCGAACACTTTGTCTTTCATGATCATCTGATGCTCGTCATAATCGACTTCTATTTCTTTTTTCCGTCAATTTTTTATGCGCAGATTTGTCTTCTCATTCCTTTGTCCTGAACAATGGCTCATTTACTCGAATTTGCTCTCTTTGGCTTTTCGTCTTCTTTAATTTTTAATTTAAAAAAAAAACACAAGGTTTATTTGACATGTTCGGTGCGATATTTCTCGCCGCCTGAGAACTACTACTGCTCAATTTGTGCTGCGGTGCGTCAAAATCGAGAAGAGTAATAATGTTAGTTATGTACTCCAGCGGTGATGGCACCTAACTCTGCTTGTGCGCGCGCGCGCAGTTTTGCATGCTCTCGACGCCTTCATGCGCACTATTTCGCATTTCGCTTCGTGCTCGTATCGATTCCGGAGGCTCTCCGTGCGTTTCGATACTATTTCCTATTTTTTTTTCTTTATTTTGAGTTGCTTTTCCTGCATATTTGTCGGCTCGTCGATCGCAATTTTTTCGACAATTACTATTCATCTCATCCTCCGCTGTCTTTGTCTCTCTCATTCGATATTTAGTGAGCCTCCAAAAATAGTGAGAAGGCGGTAATTAAAGCTTGTCGACGAGCATGATAATGTGCTCCCTCGCTTTCCGAAATCTCAGCACAATATCAAATTTCGGACGCCTTATTAGCATCATCTTTTTGTGGCGCCGTCTCATTCATCTTCATCTTATCCTCTTCCTCAATTTGTACGCAAATTAATGCATTTATTTTAGCAAGCCTAATTATGTATGTACAGGGTGTCATTTAAGTTCCCGCACAAAAGTTTGACGCCATGAAGAGCTTGGCTGTCGCACTTTTCGTGCACCAATACAATTTATTTTTGTTAAATAAGGTATATTTTACTTACTTTCCAAGTTTTACCTCATTCGGATGTGTTTCCGAGAAATGGCGAAGGCTAACATCCATTGCGCTTCCATTATCGAACTTCATAAGCAAAATGTGAGCCTGAGAGACATCATTCAACGCCTCGGTGTGCCTCTTAGAACGGTTTACGACATCATCTAACGTTTCAAGGAACTAAATACGACCAGTGACCGTCCCAGATAAGGAAGACTCGTCTCGGTAACCACTCCTCAGAAGTTCAACGCCGTTAAATCGAAGATCAGGCGAAACCCACACAGGAGCATGAGAAAGATGGCGTCAGACGTGGGAATGAGCATTTTCGCTTTGGAACAAATCGTCAAAACGAAGCTTGGACTGACCCCATATCGTGTCCAAAAAGCGGCAATTCTATCGGCCGCCAACAAGTAGAGACGCTTCGAAAAAGCAAAACGACTTCTTGCTCGCACGCGGTCTGGAGAACACCTCGTCACTGTCTTCTCCGATGAGAAGCTGTTCACTGTGGAGGCGGCATTCAACTCACAAAACCATCGAGTACTTGCCCAGACATCCCAGCAAGCTTCTGAGAAAGGAAGAACATATCATCCAGCCTCACATCCTGCCAGTGTGATGGTTTTCGGTGCCATCTGCTCAACCGGGAAGTGCTCCCTGGTTTTCGCGGATCAGGGGGTGAAAGTGAACAAAGAAGTCTACGTTCGGGACATTTTGGAGAAGCATGTGATACCCTGGGCCAAAACGCATTTCGGTGGGCAGAAATAGGTTTTTTAACAGGACGGAGCACCCGCCCACACTGCCAAAACTACTCAGGAGTGGTGCCAGACCCATTTTCCCGACTTCATCAAGTCATCCGAATGGCCTGATTGCTCCCCAGACCTGAACCCGCTTGACATTCCCGTGATGGGGTCTTGCAGGAGAAGGTCAACGCAAAACCCCATTCAAGTATAGAGGCTCTGAAGAAGACATTACTGGCGGAATGGGACAATCTTTCCATCGAATACCTGCGTACCACAGTCGCATCCTACCCGAAGCGTTTCCGTGAAGTCATAGCTGCGAAAGGAGGCCGAATCAAAAAGAGTTAATAAATAAATATTTGTTATACTATAGATAAAAAATATTTTGAGTCTCGTTTGATTTGGACTTTTAGTTTCAGAAATATACGTCTTCAAAGTTGTGCGGGAACTTAAATGACACCCTGTACACACTGCGCATTTTCTATTCATTTTTATCATGCTCTCTTCTTTTCATTTTTTTTTTGTCAAACTTGCGTGACTTACTCGACACAAAAAGACGATGATTTATGGGTTATGGAAGTGCTTAAACATGTATATAGCGAACTGCAAAACCTTTTAGCAAAATCAATTTATTTTTTGGGTGTTGTTCTACTCAAATATTACAAAAGGCTCAATTTTCTCTCTTCTCAAGTTTTTATAAAAGGCAAATGCAGAATCTCACGTGATGATGGACCTAACAGTGATGACAGGGTCCCTTTCGCATCACTGTGATTTTTCACGCGAGCGGGACTCCTCAGGAAAGTCATTCATAGTTTCAGCAGTTTCTAGCAAGAGTCTACTAGAAGTCTGTGCGACGACTTTCCCGAGTCGTATTTTTTCCATCAAGTTGATCATGAAAACCAAATGTTTTTAATTCACTGCCCAAATTACTCACAATCTACATACTCATGATATCCATTAGCTAATTAGATAATTTACTATTAATATACAAATATGAAATGAGCGCTACCGTAACCTCCGGAATTTATTAAATGACGTAGAGATGATAGACTATTTTGAATATTTTCGACGTTGAAAATTAATGAATATCTTGATTTATTGAGCTTTCGTATGTGAACAGCCCTCCGTTTAAGGAAACCATAAAGAATTTTGCACATTCAATTGTTTTTTTTCGTAAGCGCAGATGAAAGAACGAACATAATTCCATCGAATGTTTGTGAAGCTCTACCCATCGAAAATTGTTTTGGTCGTGCTCGAAAAATATTTTATATTTTGCACATTATTCCGCAGTCTACCATTGGATTTTTGTGTCCAATTTTTTGTGTGTTTCGAGACAAAACAGCTAAAAAAATCGAAAGCTCCTTTTTGTTCTTTTTTCGGCTTCATTTACATTTTCTTTTTCTTTTCAGTATGTCAGTTTCGAAAAAGAAGGACGATGACAAAGAAAAGAAATTTCTAGGTCGACTACAATATAAATTGGACTATGATTTTGATAAGAATGCGGTATATTTTTTATTTCGAAATTAATTATTGGGATAATTGGTTGAATTGAAGCTCACAGTTGTTATTGTGCAAGCCGAAGAGCTGCCGGCGATGGACCTTGGAGGCACATCGGACCCCTATGTGAAGCTCTTCTTGCTACCTGAGAAGAAGAAAAAGTTTCAAACTAAAGTGCAGCGAAAATCACTGAATCCTGTATTCAATGAAAGTTTTACATTCAAGGTAGTCTTACTTTTTCCTTATTTTTCATTAATTTGCGGAACATTTCCAAAATCAAGTCTTTGAAAAAGTCGCGCCCCCAATAGAATCTCGTTTTTCTTCTTCGTCGAGATACATACATAATTGGACCGAGAAAATTGAGCACCATAGATGGATGTGAAGTTGGTTCTCTTTTTCAAAAAAAAATCTAAAAAAGAAAGACAAGCGAATAATGGAAAACCTTATTCTTTGTTTGTTATTTGGAATACACTCCGAAATTTCGACGCGTGCAAATAAGAAAAAAAAATAGAAGAACGGGAATCCACTTATAATTTCCAAGAAAAATAATTGAGAGATTCGTGCGTTTTCGTCGAGTATTCTTAAAAGTGCTTAAATATTCATTCATTTTTCCGTTTTCAAAATGAATTATTCATTTCTTTTTTGAAGATTCCTTTTAACGAAATCGGCGGACAAACGCTTGTTCTTAATGTCTTCGATTTTGACCGTTTTGGAAAACACGATCAGGTTCGAATGCCGATTCTGTACCGATTTCTAGAATACCCCAAATGTTCAGATCGGCCAAATATCGATTCCGCTGGGAAAAATTGATTTGGCGTCGACAATCGAGCGAATCGATTTAATCGAGAGTCCTCCGGTAAGCCGAAAATCCGAATTCGTATTCCAAATCCAAAATTATAGGAGAATCGATTAGGCGAAGTGTGCTTGGCTCTTCGTTATGTTCCCAACAAAAACAAGCTATCCGTGGTGGTAATGGAATGTAAAAACCTCAAGAAAATGGATGTTCTCGGATTATCAGGTTTGTTTTCTCCGGTTGCTTGTTTTTTTTTCTTCTTCTTCTTCGAATAATCCCTCTAATTAATTAATGATGTTATACAGATCCATACGTCAAAATCTATTTGATGATGGGAACAAAACGGCTCGAAAAGAAGAAGACAACGATCAAAATGAAAACGTTGAATCCCTATTACAACGAATCATTCAGTTTTGATGTGACACCGGAAAAAATGCAGGTTGACACTATTTTTTGTACTTTGACCACATTTATTTACTTCAGAGAGTTCATTTGCACGTTACGGTATCGGATTACGATCGAGTCGGATCGAATGAACGTATTGGGCAGGTATGTAGCTGAGAAAAAGCGAAACTGTTCATTAATGTGTGACTAATATTGAAACTGAGAGAATTCTCAACATTTCTGAGTATGAAAGTGACAGGATGTGAGCAGAAAAAAGTACAATTTGGCTCATTAAAATAGAATTCATTTATTTGATGATATTGTCGGCGTCCGGCGACTGCTTACGCCGGTAGATTCGCTATGGTCTTGCACGGACTAACTGGTTATTTTGCATTTCAAGTATCGGTTCGACAATTATTAATTTGATTGACGTTAGAAATTCAAGGAAATACCAAACTCGTGAAAAATTTTAATTATTTAAATAAAATATTATCTATCGGGAAAATATCAAGGATCCAGTAAATTCCATTTGCAATGTGCAGAAATTGCTACGAAATTGAAATGTATCAATTTTCAAGACATGTATGTATTTTTCCAACTATCCCATATTGCAAAAAGAATTTTAAAAAATCATAAAACTGAGCATATAAATTCAAATAGCTTAGGAAACAAATTGGAATAATCAAACATCATCTTAGATAAAATAATTTTTAAATAATAAATATACTTTGTCTCTACGCCTCCGAAACTAGAAGTTGGTGCATTCGGAAGCTCCAGAATTTCTTAGCACACACTCCAGCCGTTTTCAATTTCAATCTTCTTCTCGACTCTTTCGATTACTCTTCTTAAAAAACTCCAACAGCTCTTCCAAAATGCTTTAAAATCTTTGTCAATTGCCAATTTTCTTTCAGGTGATCATTGGATCTGGAGCATCTGGTGTAGCATTGAAGCAATGGAATGACATGCTGGCAACCCCTCGTCGATCAGTCGCTCAATGGCATACGCTATTGCCGTTCAACGATGATTAGACATTTGTTTTAACTCATATTTAAGGCTCGCTAGAACATATATATTTTCGATCAAACTATTTATTGTCTTGCCTTTCCGGTTTGTTTATTCCCACTGATTCATAAACAAACTATCATCGTCACATAATCGCGGACATTTCGATATTGTATCACATTACTCATTTATTTTGTTATATTTCTCTTTTCGGTGACCCGTTATTTATTCCAGCTAGTCTCGTTTCAAGTCATTTTTGATAGTTGTGTAGTTGAAAAAACAGAACACACATTCAGGTCCGTTCAGATGTGGGAACCGAGTTTCCACACAAAAATTATTCGTACCAAAAATGCGAGTTGTACGAACTACATAGAACATATGAATGAAATATTCAGCGAACCCATTTATTTTCCGATTTTTATGATGTTATTCTGTTTTTAAGAATAAATGTTTTCTTTTGAAACGGATAAACTCTTTTATAGATAATATTGATTCGGTTTTCCATTAAAAATTTTTTCAAAAACCGAGTAAAAAGCATGATTTGAAAGAAAATTCACCGATTTAATTATAGAAATTGTTGTTTTTTTTCGATATATCAATTTCTAAAATAACCGCTTTTCTTAAGGGAAACAACATGCTTCTCCTAGTTGTCGGTTTGTTTATTCATTTCTTTTCTGAAGACACCGAAGCTGCAAAATTCACGTATTCTCCAAATCTCAGCATGTCTAATCGCAACAATTGGCAGAATTCTGATGTTCCTTGCAAAGGTACAAGACAATATCCATTTATAACAACGAAATAAACGATCTTTCAAGGTGACCACGTCAGATTTGAGGATACCAAGTATATTTCGGCATATTTAAATGATGCAATTATGGTAAGTTATTAAAGAAGACGGACGAAATTGGCTAATTTAAATGTCCAAAAGAGTGTTGATATTCATTTATTTGATATTGTCGGCGTTCGGCGACTTCTTACACCGGTACATTCGCTATGGTCTCGCACGGACTAACTGGATATTTTGGATTTCAAGGGTCGGTTCGAATTAAAAATTAATTTGAATGATGTTGGAAATTCAAAGAAACCCTAAAATAATCAAGAAAAAATGGCGAGACCATTTCGAAAGGTGGCACTCGTAAATCTACCCGCGTACAGCAGTCGGTGGTGGAGGACTATATGTATATAAAAGAATATCGATTTCTAATTGTTTAAATAAATTTCCGTCCAACTACTAGCAACTACTAGCTATAAGGTTCGTCACCTCCCTGGCAAAAATATACTCAATTTGCTCTACAATCAATTATGATAATTTTCCTCATAAAGAGCTTGCTGTCAAATTTGTCCGTCTTCCGACACTTCCTTGCTTCGAATTCGCCCATCAGTTCCAATGCGATTTCGCGGTTTCAGCACTAAGTCGTTACAGCATCTCGAAATCGTATAATGTTTCAGTTTGATTCGATGTTACTTCCATCAAATGGGGTTATTTATCTTGACGAGAAAACAAAAATTGGAATACCAGCTAATTGGCAATGTGAAAGACGAAAATCTGCAGAAGGTTTAAAATTTTGCATACAAACTCGTGCAACCCTATTTTAGACGTATTTTTCTCACCAGAAGATCGATTTCCCTCATTTTTCAATCCTCAAACATGGAAATCGGACGATAATTCATTTTTGCACATGAATCAGATCCCTTCAGAATTGGTAACCTCCTTATGTGAATAGATTGTTCTCAAACAACATTATTTTGAAGGACGATGTTGAGATTCCGAAGCAAAGTTCATTCCAATTATATCTCGATTTGCCAGTGAAAATCAACCGGATGAAACTACACGAAAGAGAGGTATGCGTATTAATTTAAGATAAAATTACAACAAAAAAAAATGGAACGGAGAAAAATAGCAACGGTTGGTACTCGTAATTTTCAAAAATCAAATATATACAATGAGCTCAAAAAAAAGCGGCGATAGGATAGAAATTTCGAATAGAACGGGTATTTAGGGCATTTGCACGAGGGTGTCGCCGATTTCCCACATTCCCATTTTCATTTCACGAATGATAAATGAAATGAAAATATTCCAAGACTCAAGAGCCGCTTCGCGTTCCTAAATTCAATTATTTCAAATTAATTGTTTAGAAAATATTTCAATTAAACCTGGGAAGAGGAAAATTGACATTCAGATATAATCGTTTGAATTGTGTTTTTGAATTCTTTCCAAGTTGAAGACGTAAATATAATTCCCTTATCGTAATGAACAGCGCCAACCCGTCGTATTCTCATCACAATATACTGAAAATTGGATTTTTAGAAAAAAAATCGGATATTCTATGTCAATTTATGGTGAGATTGAATTGTTGGTTATCCGTAGTACGGTACTCGAAGGCGCAATACTTAAATCGAAATTTCACCCCGAAAATATGCGAAAGTTCGAATGATGCTCGCTTTTTTGTGATGGTAATAGTATGTAATATAATTTGATCAAATTATTAGAATAGAGAGCAAAGGCTAGGCTAAATCTTACATGTTCCGGCTGAGAGGTTTTCATGAGATCCAATAGTTCTGAGATAAATGCCGATATTCGATTTCCGACTTCTTGAAACCTTAAAAAATTGTATTTTTGTCAGGTCACGAATATTTCAAAATAACATACTTTTCATGATCGATACTTCGTTTACAAGATCCGTTGAGCAATGAAACTTTTTCGTGTTCCTAAACATTTTATCATTGGTACATTTTTGCCACTTCTCTCGTTACATCATTCGAAAGGTTCTTGTAAATTGTCGGATGTTTGCGTATCATATTCCATGCTACTCTTTGGCCGAGCTCGCCACTCGTCATCTCCATCGCCTTATCCCACGAGCTACACAAAATTGAAAGGCGATCACCGAGTAGTTGTCTAAATAATTTTTGTTTATTTGAATGGCCACCCACTGATTCCGAGTTTACCCGGCATCACAAATTGTCTTTTTCCGTTTGATCGTCTGCCTTTCAGCAAACCTTGAATTCAACCAAGACGTTGCTTTCAGGTAGATCAAACAATTCGTCGCCGAATTGACCATTACAAGAAAGTTACTAATGTCTATTAAATAATAATTATTTGCGCCGACAGTAACTTCCATAATGTCTAACTGAAATAGAATGCGTCTCAACACGAATACCATAGATGGAAATACCGCAAAAGTTAAACTTCGGAATGCCAAAAATTTGGTGACTAGCATTATCGATATCATAGTTTGCATGTTTTCACGAGATGCATATCTCTCTAAAACATTATCCGCCATTTGGAATAGCGCCCGTCTTGACCGGTTTGATCCACGGAGAATAAATACAGTAAGTAGGGTAACACCTGGTATAATTAAAGACGAATTACAAAAATTTGGTGTGTCGAACTAACAGAGAATAAATATATTTGGTCCAATTGAGACGAGAACCATTCGAGATAAGAGACGATACATCATGTAAGCCTTGTTCATACGAAGACTCGAGATTTTCACCTACATATTAACAATGCGAATCGTGATGTGAGAGTTTGCAATGCATACCGTTATCGAGGTCCTGTTCAACTCGTGACTGAAACATGGCGCTGTGTGAAATTCGAAGAATGCAGGAAAATTTAAAAGAATTGCTCCGATTGAGAGGAGCAATGGCATTCTGAAATTTGGGAGTTTTTTTTTTTGTAAATACTGGCTGAGCAAAGCGTAAAAATACGAAAACCCGCATACCGAAATAAGCGACGATAATGAGAACAATAAATAAATGAAATTCTGCGCTCGCTTCGGAATGATTGCATTATAACAGCCGATCTGAAATTTTTTGAAATTGGCCACTCATTTCTCTAATTATTATTATTATTATTATTGTGAGTGGTTTAGTACATACCGAGATGTTCGAAATGGATCTCGCGTTGCCATAAATCTTTGTAATGTGATTGCAACAACACACCAAATCTAGAAGACTCTAATTGTAATTATTCGAATCATATAACCCACCGAAGCGGTATTCGCGGTTTGCGAGAACACGTGAAACCATGGAGTCAGAGTATTGATGATGTCTGCATCCAATGTGATTGGTAAACTTCGAATACCGTAATACATAAATGCACACCAAAGAAGGATTGTATCCCAGAAAGCGAGGGCTAGCATTGAAACTGCCAACACAACACCTCGGTTCTAAAAAAAGCATCAGTTTAGCTTAATTTGAGAACATCATTTAAAAGGTTTTTATATTATTTTTGTTAATAAAATGTTCGCTTAGATTATTATACCTTATCCAAATTGGTTACATGCACACTTTTGACTCCATGAAGATTTCCAATTGTGCCAAGAATGACACAGGCCGTCGTCAAATAGCCTTTGACGATGGGAGCAAATTTCCTGTAGAAAAAGTGTGGAGAAAATTGGATTTGATCGATGCGAATGCGAATGGCGGCCAACTTACTGGTAGGTCGAGTCATGAAGGTACTCGAAACATTCTTCAGGCAGCTGATGTGCTACCGCCGTAGTTGTTGTTGCCATACCGTAGTTCGTTTCAATGTCGAACCGACATTCTAGATAACAGATTCAAAGGTTCGGAGAGGAAGTCGAGACAAAAGCAGTAACTCTTCTCGCTGAAAAACCGCACAAAAATACATACATAAGAAGTACTTTCTTTTAACAAAAAAAAATAAGAATGAGATACAAAATAATATTTACGGCGCGATTTTAGGTTTTCATCAAAACTTTAAAAGTGAGTGGCGATTGAAAAAAAAGAGTTACTTTTAGAATCTCATGGGGTGTAAATTTAAAAGATATCTCAGAAAAATATAGTTTTGGGCTTGTTTTTATTAATCATCCCAATCAAGAAACAATTCAGCAGTTCAAGATTATCTTGGAGTTTCAAATTGTATTTTTTCTCATTAATTAAGATAATATAAGCCAAAATAATAAGAGATATTTGAAAGAAGCGAAAATTAAGAGATTTGTGAATTATTGTAGAAATGCTTGAAACGAACTAAATGATGTATGTAAATACCTAGATGCATGTTTGTTGTGCCCTTTTCCAACGATGTGCGTCATGTTCGACCACACATTCATGTTCGATTTATGCCAAAAACGATTTCGAGTTTAGATAAAAATAAATAAAATAAAATAGGCAAAGAAGCGGCGAAGAGGAAGACGAGCACGCATAAAAAACGCGCACGAATTAAATTCGTGAAGTACTTCTTTTTTGGCACAACAGCGGCACAACAACATACCACACAAAAAAAAACGAACTTCGGCGGCGGCAGTGTGGCGCAGGAGAAGAGGAAGACGAATTTTTTGGTGCAGAAGACCATTTTCGGCAATTGGGACATTCCGATTGAATTAGGCCACGCGATTTATGGAAGGACCACAAAAAACCGAAGCGCGCGCCCGAGGGGGGGGAGGAGGTGCAAAAAGAGCATTTAAAGGGGGAACAGGGAAATAAGAAAAGGAGCAGAAGGCAGGCAATTGACTTCACCTTTTCGCACAACAACATTTATTTTCTTTTCTTCATCGTGACATCCGGAAATTAACCTAATCATTCATAAGAACCCCCCCGAAGACCGCTCTTGTTAGACCCGAATTTTACTGATTTACTCAGCCGTTTTAGTGCAAAAATTAGGGAGTCGTTGTTCGATTTTCCGGTCCCAATTAGCCGCGGCTCCATTAAACAAACCAAGTGTTTTTTTTTATCGCATTTCGCCCGCACTCATCCCATCGGATTCATGTGCCTGTCGCTAGTCATTCCATAATTCAATCGGTACACTATAGTATTGCTCTCTTTTGCAAATTGGTCTCGGGGATCATCTCAACGACCAATTCGCAAGCAACAAAGTACGTGAAAATTATGAGGAGAAGTCAGAGGATTCATTTGAATATGATAATTAATTATAATAGAATCATCACAACAACGATTGACAATCTTTGCAACATTAGAGCTCAATTGAAACAAGAAAGAGAGAGAGAGAGAGAGATTTATATTCAATTCTATGATAATTACTTATCTGGTACATGTAGAAAAATTTTGATTTGCGAACGTCAGTGAACCTATTTGGCAAATATTCCTTTTTTCGAAAGAGTTGAATATTGAATGATATCTTCCGATGTTTTCAGTATCACGTGTAATCAACCAATTTCGTTGCGAGACTCACTCCAAAATGCCATCTATCTTTTAACATTTAGAAGATTTTCAAGATTCTTGCTATAAATGTAGCCAAGATTGTTATATTTTCACATTTTTCTATTAAATTTATGGCATACAAAAAACACGGTTGAAGGAATTTTGGTATGAATCAACAACTAAAAAGCATCGACACAAAAAAAAAGAATAGTTATTATGACGGTGTCGAAGCATCTTCTTCTGATTTCAATTTTTTTTTTTTGAAAACGAAAATTCATAAATAACATATTCAAAAGTTACCAAGAAAATTTGAAAAAAAAAATGAAAAGTCAGCAATAGGGACCAAAAAATTGTAAATTATTAAGTATTTGAAAAGAATAATATTGAGATGTGACGGTAAACTCGTTTTACGGCGAAGGAAAATCTTTAAGGGAGAAACGCTTCAACAAACCGAAATGCATTTTGTTGAGCTCATGAATATTCAATTCTTCTTTATTTGATTCAAAAGTTCTTCGCTAAAACATATGAAAGTGCGAAATGTTGTGCATTTGACATATTTGTGACGCAAAAGTTTGAAGAGAGTAGATCAACTCAATTAAAAGTTCGCCATTGTCGTATTCACATCGACATTATTGCTATTTCAGCCATTTTTATAAATATTGGAAAAAAAATTTGGTAAGGCTTGATACAATAATCTTAGTTATTTATTGTCATTAAATAACGGTAGTGTTGATTTAAGTGAATTTGAGAGTTATTCGAAAAAAAATATTAATGAGAAGATCGCTCGAAACAAAAAACACGAGTAAACGCTGGGGGGTAATGATTTGTTGGTAGGTGAAATGTTTGAATGGCGTCGAAAATAGAAGCACGGGGGGCCACAGTTTCCAGTAGGTGTGGTAAAAGTCATGTGACGTTTTTCGTCGTTAACCAAACAAGAAACCATGCTTAATTAAATCCGAGGTCCTCGCTCACCCCCATGATGAGGCCCGCCTGCCAAATAATGATGAAAAGCAAAAAAAAAAAGGCGGGCATTTGCATTCCGATATACACAAAAAATACGGATTGTTTTGTTGTTGATGAACCACGTAATGTATGTGCCAAAAATCGAATTATACGAATATGGGCATTTGCGAGCACAAATGTATTTTTGTGAGGAAAACAGAGAAAAGGTTCTTATACGATCGATAATGAATGTGATCTTAAAATATGATTCCACGACATATTCGTGGTTTAGAAACCGTTAAAAAAGACGACTAATTTGGTAGAAAACTCTACTGATAATCAAAGGCGCATTCACAAAATGTTTTCGAAATTTTAAGACCCAAATAATGGATATGGTAGGTTCATAAAAATATATCGAATAAATCTTTATAAGGCAATATATAATAACGAATTATGAATCAAGAGATCGTAGCAATTAACTGATTCATATACTGTATTATGAAAAGTTTTTCAAAAGTAGAAATGATAGAAATCAAGAAATTCCATCATATTTCAAACTTCAATTAGAATGCAATGCGATCTTTTTGTTTGAACAACTTTCCCAGTTTTGAATTTGATCTTTTCAGAAATTTTTTCAATGTCCGTTTTTCTGTCAACAACAAAATTGTCGCTATTAATGAGGTGCGTTTTTGAGGAAGAATCAGACTATATATCCGGTGCCGACCAAAGAGTACGCGCAACTAATTGGTGTGTAAACACCCGTTTTGTAGTAAAATAGAAAATTAGTGGAATTTTTGGAATGAAACGTTCAAAGGAAAAAAAAGGAAATTCGGAGACACGTTTAAAGCGAATCCAAATTCAACTTTTCAATTAAATGCTCTGAGCGGATTAAATAAATTGCAATCACGTGACATCGCGAATCCGGTCGGAATCAATCTTCGCAGCCACAACTAGCAAACCACAAGAAGCTTTTTCTTATAAAATAATATTGATATATTTGAATGCAATATTTATGAAGAAAAAATGACAAAATGTGACAGTCGGAAAGTATAAGGAGTCAAAAAGCCGACAAGTGATTGAATATACACGCAAATAGTTGTCTCGATGGATATTTCGAGCTAGCAAGGCAGTACACAGACACATTGTTTGCTCATTGTCTCCGGATTGGATTGGATTTTCACATTGTTTTTTTGCTTTTTTGCTCTTTTTATTGGAGAAAAGCAATTAACAGTAAAAATAGTCAATTGTTAAACAAATGAAAGTCATTGAAATCTACAAAATCAGATCACTTCCCGAACAACTCATTTAATTCCCTTGAGTCGATAATTTTTGTCGATTCGTATTGTCTGTTTCAAATGAGTGACCGGTGACGGGAAATTCGTAAATCAGTGTAGATTTCAAATTATAGTGTTGACTGAATATTAAATGCGCGTATGCAAAAATGCAGAGTACGCAGGCACGCACAGTTTTTTTTGCCTTAAGACACGATCGCACATGGCCAATTATTAATTGAACTTAAATAAGTAGCTTGAAAAATAATTTAATTTAATTTAGTTGAGGGAATATAGATCATTCAGATATGCCTATTACAGGGTGCGGCAAAATTACGGGTGCATCACTTTGGCGCAAGCTTATAATACACTGGCGCATTTATTGTGCAGTTTTATGTTTTTATTTTATTTTCTATGACGTTTTAATCATTTTCTGAATGTTTCATAAAAATCCGTTTCGTATTACAGAAATGACAGCTGATTCTATTCATCGTGCGGCCATCATCGACTTGAAAAAAAGGGGAACATCGGTCAAGATGATTTCTAAAATCCTTGGGGTTCACCGCAACACTGTACAAAGAACTTGGAAACGCTTTCAGGAGATAGGAGGACTCACTAGCCGTCCTGGAAGAGGAAGAAAACGTTCTTCAATAACACCGGAGCGAGTCAAGGTCATCAGGGAACGAGTTCGTCGAAATCCACATCGCAGCATCAGAAAGATGGCGTCAGAAGTCCATGTGAGTGCGAGAAAAGTGGGAAGAATTGTCAAAGATGAGCTGAACATGATACCTTATCGTGTCAGAAAAGCCGCCATTCTAACTGAAAAAAATAAAGAAGCTCGATTGAAAAAGTGCAAATCTCTCCTAGCTGGCACGCGGCAAGGAAAACACCTAACGACTCTCTTCACGGATGAGAAGCTGTTTACGGTAGAAGCTGCTTTCAATCCCCAAAACCACAGAGTGATCGCCAGAACGTCTGAGGAAGCTATGAACAAAGGCAGAACCATTCATCGTGTTTCCCATCCTCAGCAGATCATGGTATTTGGTGGAATCTGCGCTGACGGCAAGACACCACTGATTTTCGTTGATCCCGGAGTGAAGATTGATCAAAAATACTATCTTAATGAGATCCTAAAGAAGAATGTTCTTCCCTGGACCGTATCTCACTTCGGAAATCGGTCTTGGACTTTTCAACAAGACGGAGCGCCTGCACATCGAGCCAAAATCGTTCAAGAGTGGTGCGGCAGCCATTTTCCATCATTCATCAAGTCAACGGATTGGCCCGCTTCGTCGCCCGATCTTAACCCCATGGACTATTCTGTCTGGGGAGTCTTGCAAGAGAAGGTGTCAGCTTTCCCACACCCAAATATGAACTCATTGAAAGCTGCCCTTCTGAAGGAATGGGACAAATTGGACGCCAAATACCTGCGTGCCACCGTCGACGCCTATCCGAAGCGTCTGAAGGAAGTTATCAAGAATCGAGGCGGAAGAATTGAACAACGATAATTAATTTGTGATTGTTATGTGTTGAATAAATTTTGGTATTAATTTGAATGAGTTTTGTTGATTTTTTGAGAAGTTATTTCGTTTTATCGATGCACCCGTAATTTTGCCGCACCCTGTATAAGTATATGCGTGTTAGGCCAATATGAAAAATACCCCTATGCATAAATACAGAAATCAACAAAGTGGTTCCATTACTAACTTCAGTTGTGCAATTGCGTGTTTTGAATAAATTTAAATCAAACCATCGCAAAAAAAATACGAGAGCTCGTGTAAATAACAGTTAGTTTGATCTGCAAGTTATTTGTGGTCCGTCAACAAGCAAGACTCTCGATTTGGAATTATTTAGTTTTAAAGCTATATCGGATCAGGGATAACTAATTAGTATCTTCATTAGATGAAATCAGATATGTTTCATTCGGTTACGACATGCTACATGGGTAAGATAATGCCAAAATAAGATATTGATCTCAAGGCTCAAATTTGAGACGATAGTCTAACGAATATACGCAAATGAAACAGAATTGAAACATGACTACTTTAATCAGATGTGCAACGCCTCTTATACGCAATTTTTTCTAAAGAAGAAAGATTGCGAATTTTACGTGATCCTTCTCGGCTCAAGTTTCCAACGATATACTCAAGTTCCACGTGACGAGATAACCTACGTCTTTAACGTTTCGGGTATTTCGATAAAAAGTTCAATAAAAGGAGAAATAAGAGAAGACGGATGAAGGAAAAAAAATGACAAGAGAAAGTTGCAAAATAAAATGGGCTCGTCTCGCAATTTCCGTGGGAACCACAAGGAGGCCCGCAGGCAATCAAGAAATGTTCAGACAACATTTCGGGATGTCACTAGACAAAAGACGAAAAAAAAACAAAAGAAAAAAAACGAAATGAATATGAATTAAAAAATGCGAATCATAGTGACAACTGGCACATGTTGCAGCGATCAATCGCGATCGATCAGAGCGACCTCTCAAAAATTCTTTTGTTTTCCGAGTGTCAGTTGATAAATAAAGCCGCTAAACAAGATGAAACGTTTTTTTGGATTGGGGGGGGGGTGGCAAGTCTTCGAAAAGTGTGTAGATATGCATATATCTTTCAATGCTATCGGATGTCACCTCTCCTTCCAATTAGTAACCCAATATTGTCCACTGGTGTCAGTTTTTTTGATTAATAAATTATGACGCATGAGATGTCCTCGCGTTTTTTTCAGAATGCACCCCGGATGTTGTATTGATTAAATATTCCCATTGTTTTCACCAAACAAAACATGGAACTTTTTAAAATATCAAAACAGATTAATTTCTATTTATGGAGTGCTAAATTCAACATATAAATCTTTTTCTTAAAGGAGCGTGAATATTTAAGTATCAAATATGCACCTCAGCTATAGAAATTCTTCGAAGGAGAACGTAGGTATTCGGATAATTACAATAAAAAGGGGAATTCGAATGCGAAAGCTCCAACAATTATCATTTAGAGAAATAATGTGAATACATAATATTTCTGCAGACATTTTTGTTTTTTTCGAAATGCCTTGTTATTAGCAACATTGTTATTATTATTATCATCAAACAAAAATAAATATTTTCCTAGACATACCGTAACTATTCAGCGTCAATAATATTATTCGCATTTTTTCTCACAGAGAATTGTCAGACATGTCTACAAATTGGGACAGGTCTAAAGCATAATCTAAGGTGATTCGACAAAAAGAAGCATCAGTGGAACATAAAATTTCATGTGACATTTGAAAACTAGTCTAAATAGGGTTGCATCATCAGCCGCCGTTTTTGGCATTTCTTTATTTATTTCACGTTTTCATGTGATTAAAGAGTCAATGTGGACCATGCACATCAAAAGCGGTGATGAAGTGAGCGTTTCAGATGAAAATATATAAATGCTGCTATTGGTGTGATTGTTTTCAATCTTAGCACAATTATGGAATTCTTTAAACACATGCGCTAAAAAATAAAATCCTAAACAAGGAGGAGACTTGGATATTTGCGAATCATGTTTTCGACGGGCGGTAAAAGAAATGCGAAAAAGTCGAAATATCAATTTGAATTGCCGCCACAAAAAAATACGGTAGTTCACAAATATGATCCACAATGTTCCTGTTTTATTACTACGGAAAAAAAATTTTTCGATAACCTGAAACTCACGTTTCTTTCGGACCTTGCGTTTGCTGTAAATTCGAAATATTCGTGAGTATGTGGTGCAGGTATTATACGAATTCTCGATTCTTAAATCCAAATTTGAATTACCACACACACACAAAAAAAATACGATGGTCCGCAAACACCCAAGGGGTGTCTTTTTTTTTGTGGTGATAATACAACACTTTATTGGTAATTGGTGCCATTTGTAGAAACTCATGCGAGAAGTAAACGCAGTGGTATATATAAGATCAATAGTTTCTTGAGGGTCTCGCCACTGTTAAACATGCTATCCAGACTGTTTGCATTAATTGTTCGAAACGTTTTAAAGTGGGGGAAAAGGGGGGAAAAGAGATAAAAACGGACGAACAGATGGTAGAATGAGATGAAAACAAAACATATTGGTAGCTGAAGCGGAAAAAAATACTAATAATAATCTGAATGAGCGATGAAATTTGTCTGACGAATTTGAAGATTGAGCACGTTTAAATGAATCGAAAAGACAAGAAGTGAGCAACCAAAAATCACATACATACATCATTAATCTTCACATGATTGGGCTACAACACTCAAAAGTTTTTGGGAGATCCCATTGAGCGATTTTTGCAAAAATGCGAAGCGAAGAACAGATATAAACGCAGGTGACGAGGTCTATTTTGAAACACACCAATTTCCCAGAGGCTCAATATTTATTGTGATATGAACGCAGCGGAAGCGAACTCACAAATGAATGCGGTATAATAGTTTTTAATGTTTTAGAATATTACGACTCATCAATTTACCAAATTCCTAAGATCAATGGAAGGCCAATATCAAGTATCAATTCAAATTTTGGTTTTGAATTTCATGGATTTCCATTTTAGGTACGAATTCCACGAACCTGGGCAACGGAAAACGATATTGGCGGTATAAAGAGGCTCGTAGCAGATAAGCCTATCGAAATTCGAAATGAGAAAATCGATAATTTACCAGAAGGACGTGAAAATCCGAATGCGAAGATTGAAGTATGATATCAAAATAGTTTGTTTTATTTAGAGATATTATAAATTGGATATTTCATACGGAGAATATGTATTAAAAGTCAATGTCACATTTGCATCCCTTATAAATATAAGAAAATGGTTCTTAAAAATGAATTTTAAGTATTTTGGACGATTAAATGCGAGCATACAAATTTTTTGAAATCCTTCCATCACAACAGTAATCAATGAAACTTTTCTATTTGACAAATATAAATTATCTCAACATCATTGTGCACCTGAAAATGCTTTCTCTCGATGAATTTCTATTTTATTTGATAGAGATTTGAGTGGACGTCGAGTACACAGTGTTAATTTTTGACCTTGATAGACACAAAATGTGCTGTGTTTCTCCGATTTCGAGTAGCAAATGCGCGACGTAGCTAAATCAAAGAGTATCTGTTTCAACAAACAAAAGCCTAAACTCGTTTTGCAGACGTTCCTCAAAATTTGCGAATATATCAAATGTCGACAAGATAAAACGTGCATCGACGCATTTGCACCGTTTGGGCATTGCTGCGAAATTTGCGGTATATTCATCTTGCTGAAACTATTTTCAACATTTTCAATGATTTTCTACAGGTGCTTCATTGGATTTCAGTGCGCATAAAATGAATATAAATGTGACAAATGAATTGGTTAGCAAAGTGCTTTCTGACCTCCAACTCTCGGATGATTATTTCTTTACAACTGAAAAAGTTTCCGATGAATATGACAACGATCATTCGATGTATTATGAATATCAGGTTTCTATTATTATTTTTGTTTTCAATGGGACTCTAAAAGTGACTAAAGATTGTAATCATGCCGGAAGAAAGCACTCCGTTCGATGAGGACACTCTTCAGACAATTGCAGAGGAAGTGGCTTATGCATTGGAATCATTCAAAAATAATGGTGAGCTCATCGCATTGTCAATATCGTGCGACAAATCGGCTAAAAGTCAGCAATGGTCTCGAAACGATAACGTGCGCTTTGTGTACTCCACATGAACAATGCATCACTTAACAACGTGGCGTAATTATCCCCCACGTGTAAATCGACACTCATAACCCAACTGTAGAGAAGACTCCGCCTTCGGCATCGTGATTCTACAAGCATGTGCCGTGCTCTCAGATATTGCAGATGCTCATAGTGAGCATTCGTTGACAGTTGTGTTTATTGGTAGATCGATTTAAGAGCAAGCATTTTTCGAGTGGTCTCGAGATGTTGTTTTATTCCACAATAATTTTGGGGGATGTGATATTCAAAAAAAGGAAATATTCAGTTTAAAATTGATAACAACAACACATTGCGTAAATAAAGAATTTCATGATCTTTTTTAAAAAAAACAATTCCCCAAATTTCGATTTGGGAGAACTTCCGTCAGCAGATCGCCCCGTTCTCTACTTATTTCGCTTTAAAACCTGTTATAGTTTTCAGCTCCAACTATGCTCGTTTTGGACATGAAAGTTTTCTTCTCAAAATTCGATCGAACTGTTCAATTGATTTCGTATATTGAGGGAATATCGATTGTTGTTTTCATCATTGCGATATTTGCTGGAAAATACGTGCAGAATCGATATGAATCGAATGGTGCCCGAATGCGTAGTTTTGTTCCAATCATTTCGTGGCAGAGAAACCACGATGAAGAAGAAGATCGCGTTCATTTGGTAGTTGTTTTGAATCTACCAAGAATCCGAGCCTCATTTCCAGGAATTACATGATGCGAGTTCCGTTATGGAACTTCCTTGCCAAGAAGAAATTCTCGAACCACAGGTCAAAGTCCAACCAAACAAAATTCAGCAATCGGTAAAACATTTTTTTAAATCGTGTTTTTATCAACCTTGATGTTTAGTTCCAAAACGAAAACTTCGACACGTCAGATATTCCAATGGAAACATTTTAATGATTTATTTTATTTAAATAAATATGTATATTTATGAATATGTGTATTACCACTAGATAATGCCCTATACTTGAGGGGTTACCAGTCTCTGTGCGGTGGTTTAGTATAAATAAAAAATGAAGAAGTAATCACAATGGGGGTCGTCGAATTTACCTAACACTGATGACGGGGAAAGAATAATGCGTAGTAAATAAATGGTGGCATTGTGGGACATTCGTGGATGTACCGAGAGAGTGGTATTAAATGTGAATGCTAAATGGAGACATATCGAAGAATTTTTGGGACTGATTAAAGGCGCACGCATTTACAAGTGAATTTGGGTCTCGTTGTGATTGCTTTTTTCGCATATTAATTTTCATGTCGTTCTTGTTTTGCCTGCTTTTTTTCTCGTAATGTTTCGATTTTTCTTAATTTTTTCGAAATATCTTTCGCACTTCAACAGGCGAACGATGAATCGACTTAGTTACTAAGTAGTAAGTAAGAAAATGTACGAATACCAAGCATTATGATTCCAAATTATCAAATCGTTTAGGAAATACTGTATTTCATTGAATTCTAAGCTTTCCATGCGGACAGATGACTGCAGCCGCGGATTATTCGGCCACGGCTCAATTCACGGTCACTATTATGTTTACATTTATTTATTATTTTAATTTCGATGCGTTTTTTTAAATATTTTCGGCAATTTTTTTTTAATTTAATCAAATTTTTAGAGTAGATCAAAGAAGCTGCGCCAAATATTGTTAAAATCGATGAAAGCTTATCACTGCACAAATTTCTAATGCCTATAAATGCTTTATATTTCAGCAAAATTTAATTCGACCAAAAAAAACTGAAGAAAAATTTTCAGTCTTAAATGAAAGGAAGACGGGATTATTTCACATAATTTAACTAATTTCTATACTCGTGAAAGGACGAATTTGAAAAATTTGAATTTGGGACTGACAATTAATTGATCCCGTAAAATGAAACGAGCTCATACTCCGTCATTTGACACTTTTTGAAACCAAATTATACAAAAATCCCCAGAAAAATCTTATGATCGTTTAAAAAAAATACTCGCTCCAAACAATTTTTTTCCATACGAGGCCTACGGAGGCAATTCAAATGATAAATACATACGCGGCGCATCATTCGTCCGTCCTTATACATTGTTAAAAATTTTATTCAAAAATAAATTTCCAAAATGTGTGTGGAATTCAAATGTTGAAACAACGGCATTTGTAATTTATCTTTACATAATAATAGTATTTGAATTATTGTCTTGCGGAGAGATGTGAGGTCGCCCGCATGAAAAGCTTATTGAATTCTGATATCAATATGCGAATCGTTAGTTATTTAACTGTAAGTCGATTATCCTACAGGATATAAAGGTAATTAAGCGAACGAGATATTATATACAAGAAGGGACCCCCTCCTTATTTGTTTTTGACGGACTTTCCATATAGCATCCGCTTCGGACCTACGTGTGCTCCCATAGGTCTCCTTAACGGAAATATAATGATTCCTATGGTCTCCACGCGCGATCCACGAATCTTGCCATATCGGCGCATTATTCTTTCCGCACTGGTCATCAGCGTAATTGAGTTTTTGAAGTTAAATTATTATTTTTTCGCTTTTGGAATGTCACGGAATGCGTCTGGAACTTCGGGAAGAATGGTGTGCCACTGACCAACCGGTTTTGTCTTCTAAATCAAATAAAATTGTTTGGAAAACGTTCGAAAATCTCGAAATCTAACATGTCCTGGTTGAGAAATCGCCAATAAGCAGTTTTCCCACTGCGCTTTTCCTTCCGGCGTCGGACTTTCGTGGCCGAGAATACAGCACCCAAGGAGATCATCTTTGCCAATTCTACAAAAACCAAAATCATAGACCTTCAAAAACAAAACCGAGAGTACCTATCCCAATCCATAACTTGTACTAGCATATTGGTTTCAGCAATTTGAGACATTGGAATGTCAAACTCCAATGTCTCATGATAGACCGGATTGAGATTCGCCCGTTTTGTTGAAGATTTCCGTAATTTTACACGCTTTCCGCGATAAATTTGCTCAATTTTAACGTATGGATCTGAAAATTTAGCAATTTTCTTGCTTGCGGTTTATTTTTCCAATTTACCAGATGCACCAGTTATATCCATGGGTCTGAGATTATACGCTTTCGCCACAGTAATCGACAATTTCTGATCAGTATTCGAGTAAGAAAGGTAGAGCAAAAGATCCCCATAATCGTTTTTCTCCTAAAAATGTGTGTATGTTTATGCTTATAACGAGATATTAAATGAGCGATTTTTCGCTTGAAATACGATAATCGGAATGCTTCTCGAATTACACAATATATTCGTTAAAATCTTCACCTGACTGCCGACAATGTGCATAGTGTATTCGGTCCATGAATACAGATCGGATTTGTCGAACAAATCGCGCATGATAACGTTTCCAATGAGCCCGTGACGAGTGAATCGATCGAAATCGTAAACAGTGAACTGAAACATTTCAGTGTTGAATGGCATCAAAAGAACAACTGAGCAATGCGAAATTATCATCGACAAACCAACCTGTAACATTCGATTTGGCAGCGTGCTGAAAGAGACATCAAAAGAGAACATTTCGTTAAATTCTGGGTCAACCGTCTTTTTACAAATTCGTGTTTTGCAATGATTCCTTCGCTCAGGAAGCAAATACATTTTCACATAAGGATCCACGGTGCCGCCTTTCTCCTAGAATGGCATTAATTAAATGATAAAGTTGAATAAAACAAACCTCAACCGGAAGATGGTTGGCTCGAAGGACGTGAAGCATTAGAACTCTGAAAATGGAGTATGACAAGCAAAAAAGTGGCGAGAAAAGAAATGAAATAAATACCTATGAATAAAATCATATCTTAGCGCAAATGTGAGTGTTCCGCGAATACAATCCCCGTCGGTTTTGTCGTAAAATCCGAGCTCGTAGTGCATTACAGACCTCTCATCAATATCCTCCATCTGGAATTTCTAATAAAATAGTGCATCTTTCGATATCGCTGAACAAAGCAAACCGAAAAAAGGAAGAAAACGCTCTTCTTGCGAATTCATAAAATATTCATGAATCAATTATCAAACGAAAGTTTTCCACTATTTGACATAGTTTTTGTGAGTGAACCCAATGCGTATTATTATTTGGCAAGAAATCGAGAAATGATATTAATGAGAACGCAATGCATATATTATACACTTGCCTTTTTTACATGTCTACGCTGACTTTGAGAAACTACTCGTATACAAAATTAACTATTAAATATGTGCGAATTTCCAAATAATGATTTCATAGTTATTCAAGAAAATGTTATATACTAAATACAACATGATTACTATAAAATATCTTTAAAATCTTGTAATAAATAAATAAATAACATTTTCAAGATTTGAAACGTACTTCTTCGCAAGCTTCCGAGTTTAAATTGCCGTCGGAGCTGAACAAAAACATGGAATTTCGCGTCGATCGACTCCTTGGATCTTCGTTAAGAATATCGCAGCTGTCAGACCTGAAATTATACGTATGACATAAATACACCCATATGTACACTATATATGTAGTATTGTTGAGTATAAATCTGTGAGAAAAGGAAGACACTCGAAAGCACTGCAATTAGAAAGGAATAAATGTTGTAGTGCAAAAATGACTGGGTGACTGAATGGCCAGCCGGACGACCGATACAAGACTACTGCTAATTAGTTTTCAATTCGAGTTGTTTCCCTTCTCTGTTTTTCTAGGATTCCCCCTTCCTTTAATTCATTAATACATACGTATAGTCACAGTATTATATCAATGTTTCATTTGTGGATAAACTCACTTCGGCAACGATTTGGTTAATCGGAGCATCATTTTGGGAGTCCTGAAGAGTTTAAGTGTTTCTTTTTGCATTGATAAATAATTAGAAAATAGTGAAAAAATTGCATAAATTAAATAAATAATAGTTCATTGAATGTCGATTACGAAAATAGTAATTGAATGATGCACATTATGAATTGGGAAGAAGCTCAATTAAAAATATATGCAAATTTCTTGTTTAAATTACTGGACACTGAAATTTTGGAAATTGGTCTAATTCGCAGAAAAAAAAACAGAAAATCGCTTGATGATTCATTGAGCAGATCTAACGAAAACAAATTTAAGTGATAATAATGGTAGTCGAGATATGTCATTCAGCACATTCGAACATAAAGACAACGCGTGTGTATTTCGAATAAATGGGTTCGACCTAGACGGACGGATTAGCTGTTTTCTCTTCTGTTCTGTTCTGTTATTTTACTCTGACATTCATGACACAATGAGGAAACAAAATTGAAGAAACTAATAATGATGTCAGCGGAATAAATTGAGTAATGGACATGATTTGCTACTAGCCGTTTCAGCCTTTTTTACGGAGCGATCACACTCTAAAATGCTGTCATCAGAAGACAAAACGGGTGCAGATAAAAAAGGAACAATGCTTTCTTTGCGCTTCAATGAAACACGACAATATCTCGTAGAAATTAATATTGCGAATTGGATAAAAGAACAATACACGGAAACGGAAAATGTTTTTTTTTCCTCTGACGCTGTCAGCCGGAAATTGAGAATTACATTTATTTTAGTTGCAAATTTAAAAAAAAATACGTATATAATCATTGGTTGATCGATTTAATGAAGCAATGACGTATTTCCTTCTAAAATCATGTGATTCTCGAATATTATAATGCACTATACAGCTTATCTCGCAAATTACACGTCTAGGAAACTTTGAAAAGTTTGTGTTGCGCTAAATGCGCTAAGTATACTGATCAATTATAAGTTGGAAACAAATCGATTTTGTGTATCAGATAAACAGAAGACATCATATGAAAAGATAATGATGAGCGCAGAATTGAAAAAATTTGCAATGCATTTTGAACAATCGAATATTTTTATTTTTGAGATTCCTATTCTTTGTTTAATGAGAAATTCTACGATAATCCCAAGCGAAATACGAAATGACCAAAAATGAGATCAGTTTAATTAAACAAAGCGCATTATAGGAATTATTCCATCAAATAATGCTCTACACGATAAGATTTGAGTTATTGGAGAATGAATAAACAAGCGAATAGAAAGAGCAAGACCTTTATGAATAGGGGGTTTCGAACGACGCCTTCGCCGAGTATATGTGAACTGAATAACTCTTAAATTCTTCCGAATTTTTTTTATGGTAAGTAAAACATGTTTTCAGAGAGCAACAGAATGCTGAAACTTCGGAAATAATGATGGTGATGATGACAGGCGGCAAGTTGTTGGACACGACAAAAAAAAATCAACAACAAATGACGAATTGATCAACGAGACGGAGATGATATAGTGCTCGAGATCAAGAGACGCCGATGATTTCAGCTCAGTTTTATGGGTTCGGAGTTTTGGGTTCACGAGACATTCTAATAAGCAATAAAACAACTTTCATAGACGGTTTTATGCGTTTCTGAATAAATGTAAGCGACCATCTCGTTTTAATCGAATATTTGAAGATTTCTGCTTTTTTTACTTTATTTTTTATTAAATAATCTCGGAAAAATTTTTACTCACCAGAGTTGTATGATACATCGAAAATTTAAAAAAAAAATGAAAAAAAGTTGAATCACAATTTCTTTTTTTTCAATACATTTTCAAGAACTTACGTAGATGCAACAGCCGGACTTGTGCACGGCGAGCTTCTCGTCGAGTTTTCGAAATTTCGATCCATCCAAGGCGGCGAACTTCCATTGCGACTCAAAATCCGCGCGCGATATGATCCGTTCATTTCTAAAAAATGTGCTTATTGAAAAAAAAAAGCGTAATTTGTTTAACTTTGAGCAAATTAGAATCAAGGGAAATCAAGCTAGATGTTCAATCAAAATTACCAACAATACATTAAAAAAAAAACATGGAACAATAGCCTTAAAGAATTGGTAGAATGGAGGGATTTACACTGAGACAACTCAATTACTATGAAAAATGAGATGCAAACTCGTTGATGTGAAAATCCCACATTAAAAGTCAAACTCGATTTTTCGACTTTCGTAACACGACCGATTTTTATTTTTTTTTAAATTTTCTAAGAGATAAAACAACTGAAGAGTTTTATTAGCAACTGCCTCTTGTGAAGTCAATTATAACTTATTCAAGCGTAAGGCAATATTTTCAAAATAAAATTAATGGAAAACGCCGTTGAACAGTAATGAGAAAAGACAAGTTTTTCGATTAATTTCTAATTTATTAAACATTGATGCCATTTTCGAATATGAAATTTATGTGACATGCGGCATGATATAATTCTTAATTTTCTTCATAAAAATACCGGAAAAGGCTGAGCGAATTTTGATGAAAAAAAAAAAACGATTTTTGGCGATTATTGAACTGATGGCATTTCTAATTTGAAAAGCTGCGGATTTTGCGTTGACAAGACCAAAGAAGATAAAATGAGATTATGCAAACTTGGCAAAAGTACATATATGGAATGAATATTCGACTTGGAATGCAATATTGCCTCAAGAACTTTTCTATTGAAAAATTATCCTCGTTTGCTGTTTTCATTCGATTGTTTTGCTAATTTTGACAAAATTTGCAATTTTTAAGCAAAGACCACCAAGTCACGAGAATATTCACACTTCTATTTATGGGATTACTTTCGTCGACATTTCTCGTTCACCGCGATTGCAGAATGTCAACCACAAATTATTGAGGAATAGATGTGCGAGAATGCCAAAATGTTCAATATTATGTTCAATAATGTTCAATATATGGATTTTCGAACAAATTTTGACATCCGGCGTGATAATCATAATCTGCGAGTCGACGACGAAAACTATGCAGGCGAAGCAGAAAAAACGCGAATGTACTAGGCTCTAATCAGGCGGCAGACATGAAGAAGCGCTTCTCTTTCTTTTTCTCCGGCATTTTCTTCATCTACTCAAAAAAAATTTCTTTTTCTTGACTCAATGGGTGTGTGTGAGTGTATATTATTCAAATATGAGCAGGCGAGGCACGAGAAAACGAGCCTCCTCAGAAAATTAATTGTCTGATTTCCGTAAGACAGAAAAAAAACAACAATCTTGCAAATTGCGCCTCGCAACACTTAGTGCCTTCATTTCTCACACTACTGTGCTCTGATTTGAATGAGAACAAGGAAAAAAACTGAAAATCGCATGAAGACTATACTCGCATCTATAATATTTGCTCGCAGCTCCCAATTGAAATTCTTATTTATTTCTTGTTTACCAATGATGAATAGGTGGAAAATTTGAATGGAATTGGTCGGGCGATAAAAAAAGGTTTAAAAAATCTCTTAAACGCCTAAAAATCGGACACAAATTACAGAAAGAAAAAATATATTAAATCGATTTTTTAGATTTTTTTTTTCTAAATTTGATGAATACTATCGTAATCGAAAAATTTCGTCTAATTGAACTTTAACTCAAATCACAAGAAAATTATACATGATAACTTATAATTTGTGCAAAAAAGACTGCTAGAAGTATTGTACAATCAACCATTTTTTTTATTTTTATTCTTTCTAATCCTTTTTATTCAGTGATTAGAATAAAAGAGTGCATAGGACGAAAGCTTAAAACGCATAAAAATAGCGATTCTCATGAGTCATACCATTGCCACCCAAAAAATGCGTACCTTTGTTAATCAAGGACACTTTTACAATCGAATAATAATGATTTATGAACTCAGTTAAAAAATATAGCCAAGAAGCAGAGAAAATCTCAAATTGAAAAATATTTCGTGGTACAACAATCGTTTGGATTTCATGTTTATTTTGAACAAAAAGCGAGGAGATTTTCGACAAAAAAATCTCGGAAGCTAAATAAACGAACAAAACAAACCGCAAAAATCAATATTTAGCAGATGTAACCGTTCAAATTTTGCACAATGTGTAAACAAAACGCATGTCCAATAAAAAGTGTTCAAAACTCACTGCTTATTGACAATGTTGATGTACTTTGCGGCACGCTGACTTTTATCTCAGGCACAGATGTTGGAACCTCTGAAAATATGCGAAATCGATGCAATACACGACATCAATCTAATTGATTTTGTCTTCTTGATTTTGAAATCAAATCGAAGAACCTGGCTTGCTAATTCTTCTCCAATAGCGGGACATTTTTCGAGAGAGAGAGATAGATGAAGTGAATATCTAAAAAATTTGAAAATCAAATAAGGCATCCGAAAATGTAGTTGGTCACAAATTAAATGTAAAATACACGAGGATGAGATATAATTAATTAGAAATGTAATATTTTAGGCATTTGTTCTAGAATTCTCTTCTAAAACGAATGCCAAATTAGGATTATGTTTCAATGATACTTTTTTCCATTATTTCCCGTTTGCATTCTTTTTTATGAATAAGATTATTATTATCTATTATTTTTTTGTCATTATGAAGATGTATAAAGTGAAAAAAAATTGAAAAATTAACGAAAGACAATTGAATATACAGTGATTATTAAAGTAGTACGGAGAAGTTTCTTGAAGATGGCAATTGTTTAATTTCCAAAGCTTTTATATTTAGATGTTTTGAATCGCTTTGAGAATCAAAGTTCCATAAACTAACATTCAGTTTTAGGTTGTAGTCGTATTATATAAAATTTGTACAAACTTCGAGTTAGATGAGACAAGAGTTTGATGCGAGAGCATGATTATCACAGCCGTCAACTACCGTTATAACATATGGATTATTAGAGGTCAGAAAAAAATCAAAAAGTCATTTGAAATTGAAAAATGTTGGTTTTTAACAATCGCATCGACCAAAAATTTTTCGTCGAAGATTTTAGTTGTTTTGAATCATGGAAAAGTTTTAAGAAAATGTGGGACCAACAATTTCATTTTTATTGTGCGGATTGAATTGGATGGGGTGAGAAGAGTGGAGAAGACACAGGAAACAGGGTGATTTATCAATTTTGACTGACGCCGTAGAATTTGGAAGAAGCTCGAAAAACGAGTAAAAAAAACCCAACAGAAAAGGATTGCCGCAAATTTCCGTTCAAACTTCCAACAATAGGCGATTAATTGCGTGGCGTCGCAACGCGACATTTCGACTTGAAAATATTGCTAATTTTTGAGGCAAACAAGGCAAGAAATTGGAAATTTCAACGGATACTAACCACCACAAAAGCCTCTAACGAAATGAATAAATCGAAACGCCATACTTTCACACAAAACGTTTCCCATTAATTAAGCTATGTGCTCTTGTTCAGAGTTCAGATTTGATTTTCTTTTGAATCGTAAATATAAGACTAATTTCTTTCGGATTTTTGACGATTCCATGAAACCGAATAAAAGCGAATTTGCCGAAACACGCGCAGTTTAACCAATTAAAAACAATTCAGAATTTATTGCCATGAAAGGTCCGATTCATTTAATTGCAATTAACCAATTAACCAAATCGATGAGACCTTTCAAAAATTTATCATTGGTATATTTTTTCAAAAAAAAATCTGCCGCGATAAATTTGAAAATTCGAATGATAAATTTTTCGATCAAAATTATTACAGTAGAAATAAAATTAATTTAGAGAAGAGGAGCTGAATAAAAAAAAATTAAAATGTAACCAATCAACAACTTGATCATTTTAGAAAGTTCCGAAATAGGAAGTTGGTTCCCGCACATTGATGAAAGTATTCGGTCGGCTTAATTGAATGGTTATGCTTACCGGAATATTTGATTGAGTGCACAAAGTGTCGAATGCATATCCGGATGGCGAAGTACAGTGCAAAAGATGACAGAATGGTGGCAACGAATGACGTGATCGCCACCAGCACCCACCACCACCACTCGTCCATTATGGCGGGGGCGGAAGAGGGGTCGTTAACGACCAACCTGAAATATAAAGAAATCAAATAAATAAAAAAGAACGAACGAAAAATAATTATTTTAAAAGGAAAGAGCAATGGAAATGGGAAATTTTCACGGTTTTTAATTCCACTTGTCACCGCGATAAATCAGAGAATTCGAATGGCGAATGGAAAAAATGCGTTCTTTCTCTCAATTTTCTGAAGAATATCGAGCAGCTGGAGAAATTTTAATTTGGATCGAAGAAAAGCTTCAGAAAAACCGCAAAAAATGCAAGACAGCAAAAAACCTTTGGAATGTCATTTCAATCTAAAAACTGACCGTAAAAAAATATTGAGCAACGAGAAAACACATGTTTAAAAATTAATGAACAAAGACAATTTCAGCTGAGTATTTTGGTAATTTGCAGCTTGAAGAGCTGCTGTATATGTACAAACACGAGAATGAATCTTCTCACAACAAACGTAGATGCTCATTAGAGAAAGAATCCGAGAAGAGACAAATATTCAACTCAGTTTTCAACTATTTTATAGATTTCAGGTTCATCGCAACAAATTTTAAGAGAGCCACAAACAAAACGTTCAAAGTACTACATAGAATGAGTTGAGGAAATGTCGGCAAACGTCGAAACAATGTTTACAAACAAAAAGGACATATCAGAATATGGGAGGGTTTGCGTGTTTGGGTTCGGCACGAATAATGGGTCTAGTGGAGAGATCAAAACTTTCTAATTAGTTTGGCAGCATTACCCTTTTCGAAGGACAGCCAACTAACCAGACAAAAATGGCATTCGGCATTAGATTAATTTGACAAAAACAAACGAATGAATAATTTTTGGTGGAGCATTAAAACGGTGTAATGCATTTTTAATCATTTCGAAAAAATGTGAACAATATGATAGGAAACAGTTGAAATTTGCTATCAATTTTTTGGAAGAAAATAACCCTAAAATTTGCATTGCAT